AATACAAAGTCATGATAAAAATATTGAAAGAAGGTGCAACTGTCTGTTTAAAACAAGCAATTTCATTACATAGTCCGTTAAAATAACAAATTCCGTTAGTTTTTCCGTTAAAAACAAGAAATTTCGTTACATAGCCACTTTTAATATATAGAAAATATAATTATCATTCTTATCGACACATTTTTAACTTGAATAATTCTATATAGTACCAGTGGTACAAGAACATACTGCACTTTATATTGTGAATGAATTAAATGAGTTGTTTGACTTTGTATTTAAATGAATTTATTATTTAATGTCATATAATTGCTACACAGACTGATGCTTAGTACCAATGATAATAAATAACATTACTCTTTTAACTTATACGACGAGCCTTAACTTTTGAACTTAGAATATATCATACTCTCTTTTTTTTTTTGAAAAATTTTTTTATTTACATTTACATCTAATAATGACACGTTGATTGAACCAAAAACTAATGAATTGAACCATGGACTTGGTTTAGCTGTATTTTGTCAACAAAATTCATTTGCTAATAAAAGAAAATGTGTGGCATAATTAATTCAAAATACTTGTGCAGTTTTATTTATGTATATTAATACAAGAGTAATGTTATTTATCATCATTATGATGTGACAACTCATTATTCCTTACATTTTTTTCTCTTTCATAAAAATTGAACTGTTCAATCTCATTATTTCACATAAGCTATCGTATCACCGACGTTCCATCATCATAATGATAAATAACATTATTCTTAATATAAATAGATCATATTTTGGTGTATTTATGCAAATTAGTACCCCCAAAATGTTTACAATAGAAGCGGGCATAAAATAAAATCCTTCCAATAATTACCTCCTCGTTTCTCAAGTTTTCTTTAATTGAACGATGTATTTGTGAACCAATCGCGAGAACAATAATGCATTAAACGTATCATTAAATGACTAAGGTGTTAAATCCATTAGTATCAAAGAATGCTTAAAAGCAGCTCATTTGAGAGTCACTACAAGAATTTTATGTTTTCCCTATAAAATATTTTCGCAGGGAAAAGTTCTTATTCGTGGAAAAAAACTTTTGCAAACGAAAAAATTTTGCAGACAAATTTGTGGAGCAAACATCGAGAGAAAAAGTAAAAGATGACAAAATTTTAAAATTTGTGGGCTAAAGTTTTTCTTTACGAACCCTTTGGAGACGAATACAATACGTCGCGTAAGTTTTTCCCCGACAAAATCATTCGTCTGCTGAAGTAATTACTTTTGGCCCAAGAAACGATTTTGCTTTTCTCTGCAAATTATGTTGTGAGCTAAAACTTGATTTTCCCTACAAGTAAATTTTTGTGTGGAAAGAATTGTATGGAGAAATTAAATTATTTTCATATATTTTATTTGTTATTTACATTGTATTAATTTTTTGACCTCATTAAAAATAATATAAAAATGCAAAAAGTCCATAAATTAATTATGACATTTAGTGTCAATCAATGTAATATTAAATCCAAAATATTGCACCAAAACAAAAATAAAAACCATTCACTAGTTATATATTTAGTCACAAGTGTGACTTCTCAATTACCAAAGTGTCGATGGCATTATTGATTCATACAACAAGGTACATATAAATATAGGCGCGGTGTCCTCTAAATCATCATACTAAGGACCGGCCAATCTTCAAATGTGAAGACCTTAACATGATAATTCAATTACTACCATTATGCTTGTATGTACCTCGTTTCATTAATTGGTTTATAAGAAATTAGTGAGTGAGATTATAATGTGATCAATATTTAGGCGCTTTGAGAGTACAAAATTTTGTACAAATGTTTATTCACACCTTTAGGCATTTTCAAATAGATGAATGATTAGTAATTTTGTAAAGTGTTTTGATGAATTATAGTGATTGCGATCAAATTATAGACATTATTTTCCATTAAAATGAAATGCAACTAATAAGAAAGAAATAATTGGGAGGATAAAACGGTCATTTTGTGCTTAAGTTCAATCAAGAACCTTATGTGGGAGTTAAGAGCGTGTTTGGGAGCAATTTTTGTGGGATTTTAATCAAATTATAGCCGTTATAGTCAACCTGTGGGCCTCACCTGTGAGAGGGAAAATCAAAAATGATGGCTGATTTAATAGTTAACTGCTAGAATTTTGATTAAAATCTTGTTTAAAATTGCTCTCAAACATGAATGTTTTGGATTGATTGTGGTTAGTCGGGCNAAAAATGGTGGCTGATTTGATAGTTAAAAGCTAGAATTTTGATTAAAATCTTGATTAAAATTGCTCTCAAACATGAATGTTTTGGATTGATTGTGGTTAGTCGGGCTCTAGTTAGAGTTGTCAATGGATTGAATTTTGATCCAAATCCGATCCAAATTCGATGAAATTAATGGGATATGGATTCATGGTCTCAATCCGATAACCCGATCAAGATCTGATTCAATAATCCGTTAACTAAATGGATCAAATATGAATATTAGTCAATCCGATCCAATAACAATCCAATCCGATTTGCTGTAAATAATTGAGTTGGTAAAATATTTTTATAGCATGTCATTTGTGACTAAAATAAATAAATGAGAAAATAAATAAATTTAAAATAAAAAAGTCATCAAATTCAAAACATAAAAAGGTTGAAAAAATTATAATTATTAAACCCGTTTAAGAATTAGAAAAATTGGAAAAAAAATAAATAAATAAAAGTTGATTCCAACATTATTTTTTCCCTAATTTCTTTAATTTCGGATCGGATAATTATTCTTATCACATCGAATCGAATATAGGCAGACTTGATCCATTTACAGCCCTAGCTCTTGCACGGGACACCTCAAATTCAAGTCATGTCGGTCGATGCGACCCGATTTATATCTCTATATATACTCTATTTATTATTTAGATATTCAATGATATTGATATGCATAGATACACGTCATTTATTTACAATTTTACATTAATATATTGTGCCGTGCACTTGCTTTTATTAGCGTATAATTTTTTTTGCAACTTTCATTCCAAGAATATTTGGTACTTGCCTGCTATTAAGAGCAATTCTTAGAGGTATGTCTAAAAGAAATCTCAGATTTTAAAATATCTTCTTAACATTTGTCATTAATTTTCAAGAATGGACCCCATTGAAGTTACCTCAGATGGAAAATATAGTCAATCTATGGGAAACAAAGAAATTTGCATTCTCATTGTGGATGATGATCATACATGCTGTGCTATTGTGGCTAAAATGATCCAATCTCACACTACTTACAAAGGTATGTCTTCTGTTCATTAATTCGATCAAAGTTATGTGACATTTTACGATCACGAACGTAATGTTATACCATGTTTTCTTAGTATTGCGTACCGGAGTTGCTTTTGAGGTTTTAAAGACGATAGAGAAGAGAAAGGACAGATTCAAACTTGTTTTAACCAATGTTCACAGGTTAGAATCACGTGGACATAAGATTATCCGATGTATAAACGAGCAATTCAATCTTCCCACAATTTGTAAGTACAACGTTCTGTTGTCTACTTCCTATTACTT